GTGCTCCGAGGAATTATTTGGACTAATGCCGGTCGCCATCGCTCCACACGGCAAAACCTCATCCCCACCACTTGGATAACTAGCGCTCAACTAACTACTGTGCTCTTTTTAAGACACTTTTTGCCTCGCACAACCAATCTGTGGAACAAGTTATCGTTTGCGGTATTTCCGGACTGATGCGACCCAAAATATTCTCGTGAAGAGCGTACTCTTTCCTCAAGGCCGGCAACGCGTTTGTGACTCCGGAGGTGCAGGCGTTCATGGGCGGCGATGGTCACTGTCAAACAGGTGACCCGTCTGCTCTTTTGCCCCCTCTTCCAAAAAAAAATGTAGTTAACAGTCAGTGTATAGATACCACGATGTTTTAAGAAAGCCAGGATAGGTCTTGAAAATGAACATTTTTTAAATATTTCATTTGTTTTGATAAAATAAAATTATAATTCACTATTCAATTTCCGAACACATCGAAAATTAAAAGTTTTGGGGGTTATTTTCTTATTAACAATCATTTTTTGTTTACTAGCTGACCCGGCAAACTTCATTTCATATCATTTATTCTTTATTGTAAGTAGGTACACATTAATAATAAATGACAAGGAAATTACTTGTACAAGGCTAGCTTAACCCAAACCTGAATTTTCTTCCAGTAAACCCTTAGAGTGAATAGAGAATTATAATAGAGATCGCAAAAGGCAAAGTCTTGATGTGTACTTAGGAACTTAGTACCGCCATATTTATTTTTTTCGTGAATGTTTTCGAAATTTCTGGAAAAAATGTTTTACGTCACTCTGTCAATGTTTTGTCTCATTCACTCACTCATATTTCATATTATGAGATTTAAAAAAAAGACGTCGATTTTTTTATTTTCTTTTACAAACCTTGTCCTGACAATAAGGATCACAACAACAAAAAAAAAACAATTTGGTACAGTCTTTCGGCAGTAATGCGCGTACATACATTTCGACGATTAATTGTATAAATAAGTATATAATTTTATCTTTACATTACACAGTATAAAATGAAGTCGCTTATTGTTCTTGTACGCTTAGATCTTCTAAACTACGCAACGGATTTTAATGCGGTTCTCACCAATAGAGAGAGTGATTCAAGAGGCGGGTTTATATGTTTAATACATATATACATATATGCGTATTATAGTAGATGAAATGCGAGAAGTTCAAAGATTTGTAATGTGTAGTCGTAAAAACATGTTTTCGTGCGCTTACATTGCAAACACTGTCTAAACTTTACGAGATATATCAAAATAATGTACTACGGAATTGTATATCTTAAAAATATCTACAAAAAAGTCCGCGATGGTATATGTTTATTTTCTAAGGATAATCCACAGCAACCATTTTTATCTTTTACAATAATGGGTGGATAATTTATAAAGCCATTTTGTACAATACAGCGACCGGAAGGAGCGGTGCGGGCCTATAAATATTGCATATAAAGATGTCCTGTCTTATCACAATAATGATATAATAAATAACATATTTTACTACATTCACACAACGCCATCTAGTCCCAAACTAAGCAGAGCTTGTACTATGGGTACTAGACAACTGATATAAATACATTTAAACTTTTTTTTTTGTTAATACATACATAAGGTGGGTGGACCATGAAGGGCCACGCTCCTTTGAAGGCCAACTATTAAAAAGTCGTAGTTATTGACATGTAAAGACATATTCCTTCTACTACACACTACAATCCATCAAACTGAAGGCCACAGACGCGGCTGCGAGTCGCTCGCGCCGCTATTGTGGCAGTGCGATCTTACACTTCATAGACTTCGGTCGTCGACGTTACAATTGTTATTCGCGCGCACAGCAAAACGTAAGTTTTTAGTTAAATAACCTATTGTTTCCTTATATTTTTTACTGTGAATTGTCGTGTTAGGATATTTTTATGGAACTTAAGAAAAAAAAAAGAAATTGCCTCGATTTAAGTGAAAATATTGGGAGTGTTCCTACCGTTAAAGTTAAAACAATGTTTTATATTTATAATATTTTTTTAAGGGTTTTCTAACTTTTAAACTCAGATTGAATAGACATTTTTTTCAAAATTATTTTATTTTCAGTATATATTTAAATTTATTTTATGTCTATGAAGAGGTTATGTCTGGAAATAAACTAAACTAATTTACATGAAAAGCAACGAATATAAAAAATATTTGCTTGTTAAAAGCGGTAAAGTAAGTATGAGATAAGTTAAAAATTGTATATCTAAGATAGTCTGTCTAAAACTATAATTAAAGCAAAAAAAAATTATATCAATAAGTTGGTAATTGAACAGATGATTAAAATTTATACGTATTATTTCAGATTTCGAGAATGTCACAGTCAAAACCTAGAAAAAGAGGTAGTAAATGGAACGAAGATAGTTTAAGACGAGCCATGGAAGCAGTACAAAATAATGAACTAAATACAAATGCTGCAGCGTTGAAGTTTAATATTCCAAGACGTGCGTCTTTAGAAACCATTTCGTAAGCGGTAACAGTACTAAAATTATTGGGAAGGCAACTATTCTCACAAAACAATTAGAAGAAGATTTATCGCACCGAATCAAACGTTTTATTATTATTATTTTCGTTTTTTAATCTTAAGAACCGTTGATTTTAAATATTCCTGACTACAAGACTGACTATGTGCCATGATAAGTTTGTAATAATTACAGTACGTCTGTAGTGTCTATTCTTTTATTATAATTAATATTAAAAAAGTCATAGATTGTTACAAAGAACGGAGCCTTAAGAAGGCCATATAAGGTAAAAAAAAAAGTTTTTAATTTGATTATAAAACGCGTTGACAAGTTATTTTATATCAATAAAATATTTATTACTACTAGTTTTAAATAATTTCCATTAATATATTCTTAGTTATACGATGGTGTTCAAGTAATGTTCATTGTGTTTTTTATAGATAATAAAAATATATTGTGCATTTAATGTTTCGCTTAAATGAAAGAGCTTATTATGTAGTTTTAGTAAAAGCGGATATATTAATTGTTACAACTCTATTTTTAAGTTGAACGACTGAATTATAATATTGGGCTTGTTTGGAGCCCTGTTCCTTGCAAGGCCATTTGGAAGAGCTTAATAAAACTTAAGTTTAATAAATAGTTATTAAAGCTAGGTAAAAAAAAAGTGATTTGTATGGTACACAATAAACCAAAGTATTCCTTAACAATTTGTTTCCTTCATTTATCCAGTAAATATACGAATAAAAAGTGTTTATTCTTTAGAGTGGCCTTCCATGGTCCACCCACCTTAGTTTACATAGAAACATCCAGACCAAATCAAACATTAAATGTTCATGCACACAATTGTTTGACTTGAGCGGGAATCGAACCCGCAACCTTTGGAATAGCAGTCCGTTACACAAACCACTATGCCATCCGGTCGTCAAAATTAATAGTATAGTTAATTACTCCACACTGACACTACATTAGTAGATTCTACTTGCATTGCGGGACGGATCGCTAATAGAAGATAAACAAAATCATTAAAATTGAGATAAAAATCTAAAAAAATAGTAATGCATTCTCATAATCTTTACATAAGTGCTATATTGCAAAGGCAAGAGCTAAGCGCCACCTTGTCCTTGCCCCCTAGGCTGCAACCTTATAAGCACTAAGTAATTTAGGCATGACGAGAAGGAATTGGTAGGTCCGAAATGTCTAAATGTTAATTTTATAGAACAGCAATTTTTGTTCTTAATATCTAGTGTCAATTGGTTGGTGATTCTGACTGCTAAGCCATAGGTCGTGAGTTCGATCCCCACCAAAGATAAGTAATTGTGAGATGTTCACGTTCATTTACAGATACATGGTCATTAACTTGGAATCCTATTGTATGTATAATATCCTGAACTGGTGTACAATAAAGATTATTCTATTCTATTTCTTCTGTGTTTGTGTTTAATTTATCTATAACATGACATGTTATAAATAAATTGCATTTTATGTATTTAGAAATATAAAAGTATGTTTACCATAGTACAGACTCTGCCTAGTTTGAGATCAGACGGCCGTGTGTGAGATATGTGAGGTTATTATTTTTTGTTATCATAGGTTATTATTAGATACTTTCACTAAAACTTAATTGAAAGGTAATTTATTTTAACTTTTTATTTATCCATTTTGGTATAATCATCTAACTCATTAAACTTTAAAAGTGCTTATCGCTTCACTGGCGCACAAAGGAGTTCATACTAATTTATAGGATTATCCGTGTCCGTTTGGTGATGTTTTAAAAAACGGAGTGTCACCACCCCTATTCATCTTGTGGGTGGCGTAAGAATCGACTAAGGGAGTAAACTACGTAGGAAAACCTCATTACAAAGAGAAGGAAAACTTGAGACAAAACCTAAACCAACCCGTCTGGCCAGCCTCAGGGGCAACCTCCTTTCTGTTACTAAATCTAGCAAACTCAATAGTTTTATGGAATGGGAGAAAAATTGAAGCCACTACATGTTGCTTTAACGAATATAAAATTGAAATTAAAAAAATTGCTATGGTGTAGCTATTGTAAGTAATTTCGATTTTTACAGACAGATGATTTATCTAAGCATGACTGTTTATTTATTTATTATAAAACGCTATCATAATTGATCTAATAAGGCTTATCCATATTTTCTCGGCAAAACATTTTGACGCCTTAAGAATTAAGCTTAAACTTAGTTGTTGGTTTCGTTGTAAGATGGGACGTAACAGGCATTTTATAGTTCGCTCTGGATTAGGATTTTATTTTGTTAGTAAACTACAGTAAGTAGGACGACTTATTACCGTGCTGCGTTTTGGTGCTAATGTTCTGCTTTGAGATCTCTAAGGTTCAATGTTACGCTGGCAACTATAGTTTAATTTTTACTTGCAACATTCATCAGAGTGTAATCATTACTGTCAAACTGTCAAATTTCAAAGAAGTAATCAAAATTTTAAATATCACTAACGCACCGGTTTGATTATATTAAGTAATTTAAGCATTTTTAGTGAAAATGTCGGCTTTTCACGGTTTTCCTAACCTTCCAGGACCGGATGAAATCCCATTTTGCAAATTAAACGAGGTTTACTGTTGTGGGAACGCGCGTTATGGAAATATAACTACATTTACTAACTCTGTAAGGTTAACTAATTTAGTTTTATTCGTTTTATGTGTACATTGCACTAACTAATACTTCCATATTATTGTTTTAGACAAAAAATCATCCGCATATTAATGTAACGAGAGATATACATCATCACAGAACTACAGACGAGAATATTTCAATGTACATTGATGTTGAAGACAATTTATTAAAAAAGATAACGAGTGTTTGGTATAAACAAGGATTTTTGGATGCCCTAGGTGTGGCTGCCGATCCAACAGTTAACCGCGAAAGTCAAGTTCTCGCTATTACCGCGTCATACGTTTTAAAAGTCGCAAATGTATTCACAGCATTTAGATACTTTTTACAACCACATCTAAAAGACATAGGACCTAAAATTGTTGCAAATTACTCTAGGACGAGAAACTGGGGTAATAGTCCTATAAAATGTATGGCATGGCATCCACATACAACAAAAATGGCAGTAGCTACAATAGATGATAACGTCCGAGTGTACTGTTCTGAAGTGTCTTTTGTGTCGACATTAAAATGTAAAGCACAAGGACACGTGTCAGCACTAAGTTGGAGGCCGTACTCAGCTTCAGAGCTGGCTGTGGGATGTGAACAAGGGGTTATTGTGTGGACCGTAGACCCTAACTCAATGTTCACCAAACCTTCTTCTAGTAATGCTGTTGTGTTGAAAAGGTCTGTAACTTGTTTTTGTTTTGCAGTTGATACAGGCTCTTAGAAATTTAAATTTTTATAAATATAAAACAATGGAATAACAGAACACCTTCACCTAAAAAATTGTTTCTGCATGAGATAGTGGTTCTACAGCAAGCAACTTCAAATTTGTAATAATATAATTTTTATATGTCTTATCTACTTATATGGGTGTATGTCCGAAAAAGTAGCCTAAAAGACGGTAGTGGTTTAGGTGAGAAAGTGTAACGAATGAATAAACTCACTTTCACATTCATAATATAAGTATGGATATGAATAACTCAGCGATTCTAAGTACAACATAAGAATAATCTTCTCAGACTTAGTACAAAAAAAATGTATTAAGTATGATTTTGACTGCACGGATGGCGTAGTGGTTTAAGCGGTCGCCACGTCGATCCCTACTACGCCGAGTGTTGTGGGTTAAAATCCCACATGGGACGACACTTTGTCTGATCCACAAATTGTTGTTCTGAGTCTGGGTGTTCTTTGTGTCCATTTCATGTATGTTTGTAAGATTCCCCGTGACACTGGATATTTTCCTATTGCGGGAGCTGTCTTTTAAAAAAAAAAATTTGGAACGTTACACGCTGTGCGGGCGGGAGGGAGACCGAAAAATGTGTTTTAGATGGTTTTCATTATTTCAATGACTTACTATATTTCACTGATTTGTTGTTATAATTTTAGTTTCATTTTAAATTAAATCATCTTATGTTCTCCTTAGACTTGTCTTTTTGTCATCACGTTTAAAAGACAGTAAATAAGAATGTTCCTCCCGAAATTGATAGAGGTCTATATTCAAGTTGATTAATAAACAAAAGAGTTTTAAGTAACAGAATCAATTCAAAAAGAGGATTCTTCAATTCTATATTCTTTGTAAAAATAAGGTTCATCACAATGGCTTTTAGTTGTTTATACTATTTGATAGTACAAAAACTAAATCTCATAATTTTTATAAAATATACATTTTGTTATTAATTATTTCCAATTGAATTTCCAGACCCGGTCACAGTCCAGTTACAGACATAAGCTGGTCTCCCAATGGTGACTTACTCATCAGTTGCTCAGGAGCTGACACATCTATGCTTATATGGGATGTATCCATGGAAACTGCAGTTCCTCTCAGACGAGTAGCAGGTGGGGGTATTGTGTTTGCACGTTGGTCATTTGACGCAGGGAAGGTCTTTGCTGCTACTTCTTCGATTATATTCAGGTAGGTTTAGTTACAGTTTTAAATTTATTTTTTTCCTTTCTATTTGAACCCAGCATGTTGAAGGCAAGAAAATTAAAATAAATGGATGCCTATGTCAAGCTATGGTGGTCCTGTAGCTGAGACTGGGGATTATACGACACTGAACACTTGCTGAAAACTGTAATATTTAAAATTTTGCCATTTATTAATAATTTCCTGTTCCTATTCTAGAGTCCTTACGTCAGTCAAACGTTAATATGTTGGCCTTATATTTAATGATAGATTTATATTTAGATTAAAGTACTTATTAAAAATTATGATCTATAATCATCAACAGCCCTTAACAGTCCATTGCTTTACATAGGCCTCTCCTTACAATGGAGGTTTTGGCCTACTATACCACGCTGGCCAGACGGTATTCTGTGTGGTGTCAGTGTCACCACCCCTATTCATTCCATGGTGTTGTAAAAGCCGGCTAAGAACACTAACTAAGGAAAGAAGGAAAACTTATGATCTTTATGTTATGGTAATATGTGTATTAAATATGCAATGCCAGAATTAGAAATGCCCATTGGTTCAAATATTTAGAAATCAAATGAAAGTCTCTAATATAATTTACTACTGTTAAGCCTCTATGTTGTAGTCATTGTCATAAGAAACAAAAACATACTTGAAAGAAATCCCAAGTTTTTTTGCGTTTGTTTTCAGTTCCTAAGACTGTGCCAGCTTTCGGCCTTTCAACAATATTATATTATTTTTCTCTTGCCAATTCAGGGTATGGGACACAAAGCGTTGGACTCCTGATCGGTGGTGCGCCCGTGGTCAACGCGTTGTGGCCGCCTGTTGGGGGCCCAAGGACATTCTGCTATTTGCTGCTAAAGGAGAGCCTATGGTGTTTGCACTTACTAATACAAGTCTCATGAGTGGTGAGTTTATAGAAAAGTTTAAATCAAGGAATATTAAAACAATGTTGTCCTCACCTTAGGACCAACACCGGGACCAGTGTTGCTATCCTTTTTTTTCACCTTAACATTGCTATCTGTTCCGAAACGAGGCATTCTGTACCTTATGGTAACCAGACTGCTCATAGATATATATTACTGAATACATATATATTACTTAATAGTACTTTTGGAAACCTCATAAAATTTTAATTTTATGTAAATTGGCTAGACGCTTTTTTTAATTGAAAGATCTTAATTTGATTGACATTTATCACAATTAATTTCAGGTTCGCAAACCAGTAAAGCAATACCAGTGCTTGACGTCACGAAAGTAGAACTTCAAACAGGTGAGTCAGTTGGAGGACCGATACTAGATATGTGCTGGGATCCTGCAGGCAGATACCTAGCAATAATGTTTGAAGAATCTCATCTAATCGCTGTGTTCTGTACCACACACCTTATGATGCAACTGAAGATTACACCCTGGTGAGTCTATAATCATTGTATTTATTAAAAAAAAATGTTATATTTAGTTTCTTTAACAAATTTTTTGAAATTAGGGTTACTAAATCTCAACAATAGCTACTAAATAAAAATAACGTTTGACAGACACAGGAGAAATTGGTTCATAACAGTTCTGTTTTTGCCCATTTATGTCTAACAATAATAAATTTTATAACAATTGCTCTCATTCTGTTAAACAATTTGCTATTGGACCATTGTCGTGTAACTGTCGACTATCACATGTCGACATTGTCGACTAACGTGTAACTGTTAAATTTCCTATTAAACAAAAAAATATAAGTATTCCATCAGTCAATTTAACTTTCATAGTACAAGCTCTGCTTAGTTGGAAACTAGATGGCGTTGTGTGTCAGATGTCCGAAATATTTATTTAATTATATTATTTACATTTATTCCAGCTGCTTCGTATGTGGCATAGACAGTGAAGTCCCCTTAACAATGGCCTTCCAGAACAACTTTACTGAAGGAGCGTGTCTTACCATAGCCTGGTCCAGTAGCAGAGTCCAGCATTTCCCTATTATATACACTGATTCATACTGAAACGATACTGCCTGAAGATACGGATAAAAAACCATTGAGTCGTACATTGCTGCTTAAAGAGACGTAAGTTTAAAGACAATGGATCAACAAGGAGCAATGAATATTAAAGTTGTCTTGAGTTCAATTTTGTGATGGTACTTTTTATTCTTTGGTATGGTATGCATAAAAAAAATATTCAAGTTGTATTTTATATGCCTAGATAAGATTTTGCAATTTGCCAATTTATGGGCAAATTTTTTCGTAATTATCCAGCGATGTTATCGAACATCGTGGGGTAATTACATAAGATAATATTTAAAATTTTGTTGTGAATTTAAGTATGATGTATCACAACATTACTACTTTCTGGCACGCAGTGAGAACTAAAATACTTTTCCTCTCATTATAAAATGGAAACAAATTATTTAATAATTTCAAAACAAAATTATTCATATTCAGTTGCTGTGCATTTAACTTGCCAATTTTTTTTTTTTGATGATAGTTCGACTTTGATCTCAAGGTAGTTTCAGGGAATTTCTAAAGGGAGCCGAATTGCAATGTACTACGTCTAGGCGACTGCTAAGTAATATACCCAAATTAAATAAGTTAATCGTTCATCAACACATACAGAGTCACACTAAAATGAGCTACTCTGTCGATTTGTAATTTATAAAAAAAATGAAACACAGATAATACTGCATATGTCTGTCTCTCGATCTAAAACTGTCTGTATCTGGATGGATGAGCCTTGTGAGAATAAATAGGGCAACAATCAGTTTTAAAATATGTTTTTGGTCCTATCAGAGTCAAAATGAAAAGTTTTCATGTAGTCAAGACAAAAGACTAAATCTCAAATAAGATTGTAAATTTTGACAACAAAAATAGTTTTAAGCTAAATAATATTATGATTAAGACAATAAGAGATTTTTGTATTGTAAAAATATTTATAGTCAATAAAATGTTATGGCAATACTACGGCTTTATTTGTTGCATTGAATTTAATATTATTCTCGATATATTTTGTGTTATATTAATTGTAGTTGGTAACATTTTATTTAGGTATATGGCTTCCATTGCCGGTATTAATCGTGGCAGTACTTAACAATGGTTTTGGCGTTCTTGTTATATTAAAAGAAGTAATGGATGTTCTTGTAACATTACCATTCATCGCTCGCCTAAAATCACGATTAAGCTTATACTTGGCGTGTGATGGTTTTTTGAAATATTGTAATAAACCACTCCGAGCGACTATTTCCTTCATTTCCTCGTCTAAACTTAGCTGGACTTTTACAAACACTTCACTGTTAGATCTCGGACGAAAAGTCCACCCATCGCCACTTTTCCTAGCCGAATATCTCCCATTACACAATACAAACGACGTACAGATCATATCAAGATAATGTCTCTCCAAATTTTCCATATCCACTTCTAAATTAACGGCCAGGTCTTCCTGAACAGTCATGAATAACTTAGTTTTCATTGCTCCCAACTCCTTCACAAGATAAGCCTTTAGTATATTTTTGGCAATCAACACTACATCTTTGATGAAGTCCCTTATATGTTTTATATTTGAATTTTTATTCTTATCAGGATCGAGGTTGAATCTCTGCAACTCACTTTTGTATACTTTATTAATTTTACGTTCAGCTTTATTGCCTAGACTATTTATTACAGATACTACGACATCTTTATCAACACCAAGTTCGACATTAACATCCCTGATATACATGGATGCGTAATTTTTAAAAACGCTTACACCTGTGTCGTTTAAGTAATTGTAAAAATCAATGAAAAATTCTCTAAGTTCGTTCGTACATACTTTGAAATTTTCGCATTTAGGTTTTTCAACAACTTTCTTTTCTCTCAATGCTTGTTTCGTTTCGTCTATTTTATTGCTGTTTAACTGAAGGAGCTGGCAGCGAATTCTGTAACGTTCAGACAAATTATAGGTGTCGTTGATTACGCTGGAGAAAAATTGATGAAAATTATTCATGAATGCGTTCTCTTTTTCCTTTCTGTTGGTCAAGTAGTCCATGTACCGGTGTCTCAGATGTTTCCATTGCTTCTTCGTCATGTTGCTTAATTTTCTAATCGATTCAGTCGTGTCGTTTCGAAATATCGATAGTTTTTTATCGGGCATCCACGTGCATTGGCTTTCGATCAACTTTGCAATTATTTCGTCCAATGTTGTTAAAATTAGCGTCTTCTTATCATCTGTGATTTTCTCTTCGTCCAACATAACTTTTATTTGCTCTCTTAATACTTTGTATTTGTTAATGCTTTTTTTTAATGGGTCACGTGTTACTGGTTTTAGCATGATGTGTTGTTCAGACCCATTTTTATTTCTCCGCGATGTTTTTGGTAGGAATTCAATGAGAGTGGTTTCGTCATTACCGTGTAGGGTTAGATTGTCTTCTGTTTCTATCATTTCATCGTCATCTTGTACTAAAGGCTTTAGTTCAATTAGTTTTCGTTTGATAAGTCTCAATATCTTAGTTTCAATCTCTAGTTTTACCGTTCTATTCATTGGGGGTGAATTATTTAGATCTGCAGATCTGAGGAAAGGCTTAATAAACTTCTGCAGGAAGTCTGCTATTAAGTTCTCTGGTTCTGCTGTCACTGGTCCTTTGGTATTTGATGCCATCAGTATTATCGTGCAAATGAAGACTTGTACTATAAACAAAGATAACAGTTAAAAATATAATTTATATTTGAAATATATTAGTCCAAGTTACCTATAGTAAATTGTTGTTTCTAAATTGCAACAAAATAATCGCTTGTTTCACGGGGAGCACTTCACGGAATTGTTCAGACTTTCCAAATTTCCAACTTGGATCTCTCGCATAATCAACCTGTGGAACAAACTGTCGCCTGCGGCGTTTAAGGACCAATACGCTCTTAAATTTATCAAGAAAATAGCGTTGCCCACCTCAACGACCACATTCGTGACTGTTTGAATTCATTCATCAAATCATTGTCGAAACACCAAAAGTTTGAACTGAACGCTTCGACACCATATTTTGTTTTCATCAATCATCATCACCCTTAATAGTCCACTGGACATAGGATTCTTCTTAGGAAGGACGGCTTGGCATAGGGTTTGTTTCAAGTTTTCCTTCTCTTTGAAGTGCTGCTGTCCTGCGTAGTTTGCTCCCTAAGTCGGGTCCTACAACACCCATGAGATGAATAGGGGTGGTGGGGCCGTCACCACTTTTTGTTAAGTGCCTCAAAAATCTAGAATGAACTGCCTGCGTATATTTTTCCAGCTTTTTAAGAGTCTGGAATACTTAAGAACAGTATGAAATGGATTCTCATCTATAAGTGTTTACCATCTTCGCCGTCACTTTCCATCAGGTGAGAGCATCAGTATTATCATGAAACTTTCAGCTTCTGTAAAACTTTTGAACTTGACCTGACAATTGAATCTTATTACGATTACAATAATGACTAGATTTTTAAATGATCCCGCTTTTAACTCTTGCATTCTGAACATGGCACTGTCTTTTATCGTCTTTTATTACAAGAAACTTATAACAGGTTTTAAACATAACCTTTCGAGCTGTTCTTTTTTTGGATGCCCCAATAGTTCCAGTACAATTCACAAATATTCTTATTGTCACTTAAATAAGTGTAATATTATAGAAAAAGAAATACGTACCTCCAAATTTATTCAAAAAATAAGCCATGTTGAAATCCGAGTTTAATTCTGTATTCCATCCACTTTATGGCATTGTTACAATTTAACAATGTAGTCGCTGTATTATACGTTGTTTTTGTGATAACACTTTTATGATGGTAATATTGGAATATTGAAATTATTTACGTAGAGAATGTATAGTTTTATATCTTCATAAGTTAGGGCGTACGTCGAAGCTGGTATTAAGCTATATATTTATAAAGTTGATCCTCGGCCTATCGATTTTCTTATAGACTTGTCATTTTAGTGTTGTTGTCAAATCAAAAATTTTATTAAAAATAAGGGAAATCTTTAAGATAAAACGGCTACATTATTTAAAAAAAAGCTCCACTAGTCCATAAAAACAAGTGAGATAGAACAAGAATAGTGGAACGATACGTGCATTATGATTTTGATCGCGGTCACTTGAGTTTAGCAAAAGTACTAGTGATGAGGTTATTGTTAACTTAACAATAATATTAAAACAAGCGCAATACAATGCTTAAAGTAATTGTGATATTGGAGTTTTCTCGATTCTCGTGAATACTCTCCTTAAAGCAGAAGTAGCCTAGCATTTGTGTACATACGAGATAGTAGTGAACATGGCATTATGTAGACTCTGGTTCATAGATGGCGGTGGTTATTGCAGCATCGCCCTTGTCAGTGTTTGATTTAGGTTCATAAATCTATAGCTAAGATGACGTATTTAATTAATTTTAGAGACCTTATTGAGAGTTTACGCAGAGATACTTAGCATTGGTATAGTTATGTAGTTTGAATCCAATCATCATATATTGCCACCGTAAATAAAGTCCAAGAAATGAATTATCTATTATTTTGTTCTGGCGACCTTCCACTGGTTCATTTATTAGGACTAACCCCGGTGTCATCATTAATACTTTCATAATAAACTTATTAATAGCCAACATTCCACTTCATTTTATTAAGAACACGCACACGCATATACGCGCACGCACACAAATACGTATAACGTATGATGTATGAACGTATACACACTTGCACATTCACACGCCCATACGAATGTTAAACAAAATATAAGTATTATAGTTATAAAACATTTACATATAGGCCAAAACCTTATTTCTAAGGCCTATGTCCAGCAGTTTACTATTTATATAAGGCTGTTGATGATGATGATATAACATTGGTAATGTTAATTATATTTCAAGAAGTCTTTGATTCCCTGTCATTTATGTTAGGAAGACAACCAACCTTGTCCTAAACCTAAATTATATATTTCTGATCTTTTGTCAGTTGTTGTTTCTGATCTTGTGTTTTGTTATAAATATTCTATTCTGCGATAAGGTATTTAATAATTATTTATTAATGGACATTCAGATTATATATCTTCTTTTTTTAAAGATGAAAGTTGCGTTTAGTTTATAAAAAAAGAGGTTTATTTCAATAATTCATTTTCGACTTCAAACGGCCAGTCATTTTCCGAACTAAGGCTTCTACGTCCCCCTCGACCTCATTCAAAAGTTTTTTGTCTCCTTTATTTATAACCATCGATGGTTGTGTGTATGATTGGTTGATAATTTGATTTGCAAACAAAATATACGGCTTGATCATCTGATCTATGAAATCGCCTAATGGGCTGAAATCTTCGGATCGGTTGCGACCTTTCGCGCTGCATGTAAGTACTATTGCACAAAATAGTTGGGCTAAAAACAAACAAAGTTTGGTAATATCGATACTATTTTCAATCAGACTTTGGTACAGACTCGATCAGGTAAAATCGGTAATCATTCTAAAAAGAAATAGCACTTAGTGATAAAACATGTGTGCTTAATCACTAAGTGCCATTTGTTATAGCAATTTTGTGTTGTTTGACGGGCCTGCTGATCTAGTGGTAAGTGATTCTGATCTAAGTCCGAGGTCGTGTGGTTGATTCCCGGGCCAATACAAATAATCGTGTGATGAGCACGAGCTATGTTCTGTGTTTGCGTGGAAATTACATAGGCCAAAAAAAATTTGTTAGTTTCTTACTCAGAAACCAGAGTATACTTTCCCGAAGGATTTTGGTGCGCTGAATCTAAATTCAGCCGCAGATTTGCTCTATCACGTCAGGTTTTTGAGATATTCTTAACTTAAAGCTGCAAAAACGCCATTTTTGAGAGTTTTTGAGGTTATGTAACTGTTATGTTTTTTGCACTTTTAGGTTAGAATGGACTGCGCGGGTGGCGTAGTGGTTTAAACGGTCGCCAGGCCGTTCACTACTACGCTGAATGTTGTGGGTCCGATCCCCACATGGGACAACACTTTGTGTGATCCACAAATTGTTTGTCTGAGTTTGGGTGTACTTTGTGTGTCCGTTTTATGTACGTTTGTAAAGTCCCCCGTGACACAGAACATATTTCTAATGCGGGAGTTGTCTTTTTTATGAAGAAGAATATCTCAAGAACCTGACGTGATAGAGCAAATCTGCTGCCGGATTTGAAGTCAGCGCGAACCAAAATCTTTCGGGAAGGTATCCTCCGGTTTCTAAACAAAAATTTTGTTTGCCTGTGATTAGTGATTTATTTATTTATTTTATTTATTTATTTATTTGAATAGCTGATACAAATACAAATCATGTACATAGAGATGCAACATAAACTCCTTCGAGTTTTACCGTACATCAATTTCGTCATATGTTACTTACATTGTTACAAAATATCACAAAATGCAAATACACTTAGAATAAAAGCACCAATACATAAAGCATCACAATAATTAAGTGAGGGTAGTATACAAAAATGTGTACGCAGTGCGCAATGGTCACATCGACCGCGCATCAGTGATGAATTCAACAACATTATATCGTGGATACATTTGTAATATTTTACTACACTATACAGGTTGTTCCAGGGTATGACAAATGGTCGATTTAATTTTGTAAAAAGTGTTGTTTCAATTTTATTTTTATGTTTACTTTTGTTAATGAAGTCTTTATTGATTTCGGAAGCTCATTTACTAAGAGTGGTACCATGCATTTTAGAGTTCTTTTCCCGTACAGATTTGTAAATCGTGGTAGTAATAATTTTGCATTATTGACGCTACGGGTCTTCATACCATGTGTATCACGGGCTTTGTATTTTTGAAGATCTACGTTAAAGTACTCCTCGGTTAGTAACGTTAGTTTTACCTTCTGATGTATAGGAATAATTTTGCAGAAATCAAATAGTTGTTCGTAATCGTGCTTAAATTTATTTTTTATGTTTTGTGGTACAATCTCTTTTAAAATTTTAAGTTGAAGTACATATATTTGTTCAAGGTGGCTCTTGTAAGTCCTGCCGTAGCTCGAAAGGCCATACGAGATTATTGAGTCTGCCAAAGATTTATAAAGTAGGAGGAGTGTTTTGTATGGTATGTTATGCTTGATTAATGAGAATTTGGCGAGAATAGTTCTTAGTTTATTGCAGACTTGATTTATGTGTTGCTTCCAATTTAGGCGGTTGTCGATAATTAGTCCGAGATAGGTTTGTTTCTCAACGTTTTCTACGGTTTTCAAATTAACGTAATTAGTCTTATGTGGACAATAATGACAGTGTGCTATAAGTTTAGGTGCCCAAATACTTCTGTTTTGGCTGGAACTAATATACATAACTTTGGTCTTTTTAATATTGAATACAAGTCCAGCATCATGCGACCATTTTAAAAGGAGGTTGAAGTCGCTTTGTAGCCAATTTTGAGCTTCGATGATATTAGTTCCCGCAGAGATTAGGCAAGTGTCGTCTGCAAACTGGTACATTTCGCAGTTTTTTATCAGGCTTTCCAGATTATTTACGTAGGTGAGGTAATGTAAGGGTCCAAGAACAGAGCCTTGAGCTGTACCTTCCTTCACTGTGATTTTTTCACTAAGCGCGTCACCAACTTTGACCATAAGCTTCCTATCACAAAAGTAGTCCCTACACCACTCTAGCAGGTTGCCTCTAATACCACTCTCAGAGAGACATTCTATTAACCTGTCATGCTTGAGCGTGTCAAATGCTTTGCTGTAGTCTATAAATACGACCAATACGTGATGTTTTTTGTCTAGGTGGTTGTATATACTATCTGTGAAAGCTGACAGTAGTTGTGCTGTATTTTTATGAGGCTGAAAGCCATATTGTTTTGATGACAGTATATTATTAATTTCATAGAAGTCATAGACTTGTTTGCAAATGTATTTTTCAACTATTTTATCTATGGTTGGTAGTATAGTTATTGGTCTGTAATTATCATAGTCAGTTTGACTGCCTTTTTTATGTATGGGCCTTATAATGCCTGTTTTCAACGTGGAAGGATATTTACCAGTTTCTATAGACAGGTTTATTAAGTTACACAATACCGAAATTATGCTCTTGGATATTTTCTTAATGTCAATAGTCCTGATACCATCTACTCCCGGTGCCTTATTGTTATTTAGAGACATTAATATTTTATTAATTGAATGAGACTTAGCTGGTTTAAAGCGCATTGTTACATTAGCGGTACTACTGTAGAGTGACTTGTTTAGCAGAGGTAACGAGCAATTTGGAATTACGTCTTTAACGTTGTTGGCGAACGTTCGCGCAAAATTATTAGCAATATGCTTACAGGTGTTACGAACGTTTTTGAAAGCATTGATAACAACACCATCGATAGATTGTTTGATTCGTCCTGTCAATCGGTTCAGTATTTTCCAGAGGTATTTCGTGTTGTTCTTGTTGTTAATAATGTCAGATTTGATTTTGTTGTTTTTGGCCTTTCGCATTAAATAATTTGCATAATTTCTTGCTTTATTATAGTTTAGTTTAAGGTTCATATCATAAGGTTGTTTAATCCATGATTTATATAATTTATCTCTGTATTCGCAAGCCTTTATCTATAATATGTATGTAACGTCCATGTGGTGACGGATTAAGAATACGGCGTGTCACCGGGTGGTGACACGCTATTTAATCCTGTGGGTTTCGTAACAACTAACTAAGGGACATACTACGCAGGACAACAGCACTGCAAAGAGAAGGAAAACTTGAAACAAACCGTATACCAACCCGTCTGGCCAGCGTGGTATAGTAGGCCAATAACTCTTTTCTAAGGAGAGTCCTATGTACAGTGGACTATTAAGACTTGATGATGATGTATGTATTTAGAAATATATAAGTTTATCTGCGGTCTGGTTATCATAGCACCTCTGTGAAACTATCTGCTTACTCTGAATATATTTATACAACTTCACGTATTGATACGCAATATTGAACTAAAGTAAATATACATATAATTACTAGTATGTTTTGTTTTCTAAAGAGACTTTTAACTCACCTTTAAATGTTGACACAAGTTTTATCATTTTGCTACCAATGCGATATTATGCTTTACGTTTTCTCAGCTGCGATTTATGCGATTTTACGATTACATACCTACGTATTTATAGTCTGGTAAATTTTATGATTTTATGTTGTTACTACTTCAATAACTGGTTGACTGTTTCCAGTTGACTTTCTATACAGATATTGAGTGAAAAGTGTACTTTTTACTCCGTGTATATTTCATCATCCTTCTGTACTTTCGACAATTTTATTTGTAATTTGCTTATTATTCAACATTCATATTGTCGCTTATTGCTATTTGGTTATCAGTGTTTTTTTTCTAAAATTATAAGTTTTGTAAATATGCATTTTTTTAAATTTTGTTATTAATAGTAGGTACTTTTTACAACCACTCCTAAAAGACAAGACCTGAAACTCGAGGACGAAAAACTGGGGTAATGGTCCTATTCAATTTATGGTATCCACATACAACAAAAAATGCAATAGCTACAACAGAAGACGAAATTTTTACAGTGTAGTATTCTGTTCTCGTTTGTAGACAGCCTTAAGAATAACTAGGGTTAACAAAAACACGTTTTAAGCAACAGCATTTTATTTAACAACATTACATATGATTCAGAAGTACTGAATTAGATCAACCCACACATCGAAGTATTACTTAGTTAGTACAAGTAGATCTTACAATTTGCAGAAGCCCACAAATAAGCTTACACACTAATATTGCAACAAATGTATCACTTGCATTAAAGAAAATTAAATACGTTATGTTTTCGTTATCTTTATTATTCTGCCTTATTAAGTGTATTCTTTATTTACGTATATATTTGTAATGTTAGTTTGAGCAATTATATTGTTATTTCGTCTTTTAGGCAGTGCCGTTTATTAGTTTAACCCCAATTAGTTGATCGTCGATTGCCTCTCTCCTCCGCACTTAATATCTTAAACACACTGACGCTATAACATATCATTTGTAGTTAATTACAAAAAGTAGTAAAGGTCGTTTTAAAATCGATAGAACTAAAATATTTAAAACTTTTTAAAACCACAATAAGTAGATTTACATTTTTACATGACTACAGTAAAAATAAGTACCTACATACATCAATTCATGTCTTCAGTATCGTCAACATAATTTTATGTACCAAATTTAAAATATGTATCTATTACAGGCAGATACATATGAAAATTCAGTTTGGAAATAATATATAAAAGTAACTCCGAACAAAAAACGTATAAACATATAATTAAAATATCAAATTTCAGAGTATTTCTACTTCAACTTAAATCTAACCGACTTGGAAAACTTAAATTTTCCACATCATAGACGTCTGACACTATTTTAATACGATACATCACTTTTAAACATATATTTTGGACTGGTTCTAATTAAGTTTATATTTATCGGGCAACGGACATATCTTCTACGAGTATATGGTATGGCGTTGCTACACGAATTGCTTCATATAAACTTGATTAAAAATATCAATATTTTTGGCTCAATCATCCGGAGGTGAAACCGCGCGGCAGTTGGTCTTGTATGTTGTTATCAGAATCCATTGCAAATGTTATTGAAATTCAATATCAAATGTTAAAAATAATAAATAGATTTTATTACAAACTTAAAAACTACATTTAAATTAAAATTTAACCGTTCATTTAATCGGTACTAATTGACTAATATAATTTTGACAGCCCCTGAAATAAGGCTGGTTGCAACCGCGCGGTCTCCACGCGGCTTGGCCGACTCTTGGCAAAATTTAGCCTAGTATTAATCTACTCGAGCAAGTTTAGTTTGCTGTTAGTTTTACGTAATTGTGCTCGCCACGGAATTATTTTAGCGCTATCTGCCTCAGGCTCGTGTTTGCCGTTAGACGTCGAATGACCTGAAAATCAAAACAAACTGGGTAAGAAAGCCGTATCATAGTTTATAATAAGTCGATAGGATATGAATATGTAGGTTTAGCTGGTACAACATTTTCTTAAACAACATGTAACAAGTACTTATTTGTTAAGACATTAATTTCCGCAGGATAGTCTAGAATAATCAAACGGCCATTTCTAAGTGCTTATTTAGTCATGATCAGGGTTGCCAACAGCTCTTTTTAAATTTTCAATATTAATTATCGTCGTGTTACAAGTTTTAAGTGAAAATATGTCAATGACTAACCATTACAGTGTTCTGTTGAAAACTTGGCTTCTGAAGGTGCTCGCATCGGCTGCGCAGGAGTGTCGTAACACATAGAAATATTGTCAATTGATACGGCACGTTGACACTGTCGCCACTCGCCGTTTGACTTTCCGTTTGTGTTTTCTACTTTAGGTGTGTATATTGATTGTCTGGAAGTGAAAACGAGATGTTAAATTTCAGTCGAAAAACTATGGCTAAGGTGTACTTTGTTGCCCTTTAAGTATTGTCATTTTCTACTAATAGAATAATTTTCTACCATTGTGTTCCACCAATAGTAATAACTAAAAACAACGATGACAATGTCAAAATATAAGTTTAAATTACCAGCCGTACCCTGCCAAGCTTCGCTGTGGCACATTTTGGTTGTATAGATGAGCAATGAGGAACAAAACTGACGGGAAAATAGATAAAAACAATCTTTGAAGCTATCGTGTCAAAATTTGAGCTCAAGTGCAGTATTCCTGAGCTTTTGATTAACCCCATATTACATTTCTTAGAGAATACTATAATAGTTAATTAGTTTAATAATTTTATTATTTAGTCTAGTTAGAATGTGGGCATTGATCGAACTCCAAATTATCTCTATATCCCCATCCCTAATCCTTACTTTACTCCCCAAAAGAAAACGAACCTCAACCTGTTTTCAGCTTCCTCTCGCCTCATGAGTAGCTGTCTTTTCCACGCAGGAACAGCAGCAGCTCGTCGCCTCTCTGCCTCTCCTGCCAGCTCCCTCTCGAGGTCCTTTCTTGCCTTCTCAGCGGCCCTGCGCGCCATCATCTGTCTTTTCCAAGCTGGGATCACATTGCCAGCTGCGTCCCGCTCCGGCACCTGTACATCACTCTGCCAATCCAGACCAGCCGTTTTTGATCTTTAGGTTGCACGGAAAGTGTGCGAGGTTTTTGAATTTGAGTAGACAAAATCAGATTCTATTTTTTTTTTTCAATAAATTGAAAATATTAAACATTAGCCAATTGTTGCCACTTTATTTTTTGTGAAATTAAATTTTCATTGTATTAATTGTCATACAAGAAAATTACAGACAACGTAAATATGCAAAGTAAAGTGTCATAATCCAAGTAGGTATCTATCTATACATTTATAAGAATTTAGAACCTAAATAAACTAAGCGTACTTATTATATCTGTGGTTTTGGTATTCAAAATCTTTAGCGACTATTTAGGTACCTAGACTACAATATTTTACAGATTTAATGTTATTTTCTAAGACGTCATTGTGGAAAAATACTGAGATATTTTAATCTCTAGAAGGTTCAGTTCTTACAAGGGAGTATAATTATTAAGTCTTGCCATTACCATTACCTATTTACCAAGTATCTACTATAGTGGTAGTTTTTGTTGATAGAAATGAATCCGAACTATTATATAAATGACTTTACTTACGAATGACAACAGAAAGCTACTGTAAATTTGCTTTGTAATATAAAATCAAAATAATTTTTACTTCGTCTAAATGTCGACAGAATAGAAATCGTGATTGAGTCGTCAATTCAAAAACCATGGAAAAAGTTAGTTAGGACAGCTAAAAGTAATATTGTTTAAGGTTAAATATATAAATATAATAGTGATGTAAGTGTTGTCTAAGTTAATCATCTGCAAATATTCAAGTGTAAGTCCTAGCTTGTATGAGTAGTTTTGTAAGTGTACCTACCAAACATGAATTTTGTATGAAATATAAAATCAGCTTTCGTTATGAAGTAAGAAAAATTAATTAAATACAAGCGTAAAAGTCATTCAGTCAGTCTTAATCATAGCAACTTTCAAGCACCAATTACAGAAGTCAATACTATCATTCATATAGGTACGTGCGCGCTCGGGCACGCCGTCATCGCGGCGGTAAGACCCGTTATGGAGGATTGGCTCGAGATGCGTCACGGGACCCTCTCATACCGATTGACGCAGGTGATCACTGGGAAGGGATGTTTCGGGGACCACCTGTGTCTGATCCGCAAGGAGCCAACGCCTGAGTGCCACCACTGCGATGGCCAGACCGTGGACACGGCTCTCCACACGCTGGCAGAGTGCCCGGCGTGGGTTGAGCAGAGGCGAGACCTCGTGGCGGCCATCGGAGTGGGAGTTCTCTCGCTCGATAGCCTGATTGCGGTTATCGTGCGGAGCGAGAGTGCTTGGAACTCTGCCGTCTCCTTCTGCGAGCAAGTTATGCTCGCGAAGGAGACGGCGGAGCGGAACCGGGAGAGGTTTAGGACTCTCCCGGCCCGCCAGGCCCGGGAACGGGCCAGGTACCGCAGGCGACTCAGGCGCCGGAGGTCGCAGAACGACCTCCGTCCTCCATAAGCGCAGGCCTGGGGGTGACAGGTGAGGCCATCTGTTACCCTAGCAGAAGCAGGCCGGGGTGGCGGCGAGCACGTTGCGAAGCGCGCTCGCTTCCAGGGAGCACAGGGAACATGGGGTTCCCACACGGGGGAGGGTCGTCTACTCGTCTGTAGACGACCCGAGGTATGTCGGGGCACCAGGGACTTCCTTTCTAGGGTATACCTGGTTCCCCGGCTATTAGTACCCGAGACGGCGTGCGGTTTTAGTCGGTTCGAGTCCGACATGCCTACCGACAGGTGGTATCCGAGGGGATTTCCGCACGGAAGGAAAAAAAAAAAGGTACGTGCGCGCTCATTGGTCAAATCAAATGGCGCGTTTTACCTACTTCCTGTTACACATTTCCGTTCCTTTTTACAAATTAACTCCTACAGATTGCAAGAAACTGAATGGCAAGATATTACATATAAAAACCCATTATGTAAAAAATTGAAAAAAATGAAATACGCCGTTTCAAAACACGTTGTAATTTCACGTGAACGATGCTAGGAATTGTTTCTGTCAAACATTTTATTGTTTGACAAAAACAATCCATAGCTCCTACTTTTCCTTTAGGAATATTTATAAAAAATACACACTGCCTCAAAAATTATGACATATATGATACGATAATAAATACAAAAATACAACATTAAAATACCAGGATTACATATTCGCAATTAAGAAACATTATAGCGTGTATCACGGCACCTAACTATATTTTATCATGTTCATAAACTGTCAAACATTTCCTCTTCTAACCGCCAATTAACCAAGTAATGTATGTTACGTACTCATATGTATAAATAAAGTTACAGCTACCCTGACACCAGAACATAGCTTAAAGCTTACTAAGCACTTAAGCACACGCGATGAGGAGCGATGACCGTGACTGTAACGGGAATAATCAACCAACCACTAATGTGTGGTGCATTGCAACTGTTGAACTAGTTGCCCAGGCTTATGGCTAAGATGGTAAAGAAATTAACAATTCAACTGCAATCTAGTATTAGTTAATCTGTACACAACAGCCTTTAACAGTCCACTACTCGACATAGGCCTCTCATTAGAAAGGAGTTTTTGGCCTACTATACCACCCTGGTTACCACACGGGTTGGTACGGGGTTTAATTCAAGTTTTCTTCTCTTTGTAGTGCTGTTGTTCTGCGTAGATTGATCCCTAGTCTGCTTTTATAACACCCACGGGATGAATAGGGGTGTTTACACTGCCGATTCCATCACCACATGGATTATTATTAGTAATATTGGCTAATACATTTGAAAATTTTAAATACATTATCTACTAAAAAAGTGTTATTCCGGAGAAATACCTAACTTCGTTGACAAAATCTACATTTTTACCGAGCGAAGTCTCGGGCAAAGTGTGGTAACAATTAAATATAGTTAGTAACAAAAAGAGTTAGTAGGTACATAGAGGTAAAACTGCCACAAAACATCCTACACATTATATTTAGGAGCTTAGTTTCCAAGAACTTAAGAAGAGACAAATGAAACAGACAAATGAATACAGTTCTAGATTATTAGTTTGGAATAGATGTCATAATTACAGAACAGAAAGTTGAAAACGGTTCCGGTTTGTGTTATAACTTAGCACACAGAGCTCAGATATGAGGCAATTGGTACAATTTGATGATTAAATAATCCTCCTTAGTAATACATAACTTTCCTTCGCGACTATTACAAATACAGTTACGAAGCATTCTTTGTTATTTGATTAAGATTTCTTTTGAAAGTCTGTACACTTGACTTTATCTCATTTAAGCTACTGGTGTATGTTATTATGGTAATTGAAAGGAAAGTCAAAACAGTTTCTCTTTATCTAACGTCAATACGACGAGTTGCGAATGACATATTGTGAACTAACCTGTGACTTAACTGTTTGACTACTGATCCCATACTAGGCAGAGCCTGAACGTACGGTAAACTAGACTGCTAATAAACATACTTATATAGACACAACAACTGATCATGCTCATAACACAGTTATCTGTCCTAGGTGGGAATCGAACCCACGATGTCTTGCATAGCAGTCAGGGTCAAAAACAACTAAACAAAAGGTGTACTTATTGTATGCTTAAATATTTTTTTTGTTAATTCATTTGATGATTAATCTGATTTATCTATAGCGAGATAGTTTTGATCAACGTGACGTAGGGTTCCGTCTGTCCGCTTTTACCTGCGCCATAGAGAAAAGTTTTTAGATTATCTGTGCAGCAGTCACGATCAATGCCGTGACCTAAGCAATAAAACTTTCGATCAAAAAACTATTACTAAATCATGATAAAAATCACCTTAATTTATTCGTATTTGATATTATTCTGTCAGTCTTAATTAATATTAATACAGAATTATTTACATTCGATTCGTACTCGTATTCGTACTTATTCCTCTCCGAAGTCCTAAGTCCATTCTCTTTAATTATTTCTTCTTATCTAATTAATATCTTAGTTACATTACAAAAAAAATAGTTTCGTTGAGCTCAAGTATTATTATGTTGTAATTATAAATTTTCTTTTTCCTCATTGTAGATATAAGTGTTAAAAGACTACTTTCATTTGCGTAGTTCATAATAAATTCGGTAGATGGCGTTAAGTGTAGGTAGTAATTGAAATCAGCAATTATTTTAAATGCTAAATTTTTGTATAAATATGTAATGTTAAATATTTAAAAATTTAACAAACAAAATAATACACTGTTCCGATATAGAACATAAATAGGTACCCATTTTGCACACTCGAAAAGGTACACTTATAATAGAATTATTATTGTCACCCGTTCAAATTTGAAATTCTTTTAAACTACTATAAATAAATGGATTATTAATACATTTCTATTAACTTTGTATAATCAAAGCTTGAATCTGAAAATATACATCTTCAATTTTGATATTTTATTTACCCAAACAACTGATTGAGTTATAAAACCTTAACACAGTTACTAAAAACAAGACAGACTTGACAAATATAGCACTCGAATTCTTCACTCAACTAGATTTTAGTTAGGTTCTATTTTAAAATAAACATTGATGATTTAAAAAATCAAGCGACCAATATGAAATTTGAAAAAAGTAAATTATAAACTTAATTAGGTATTGGTATTACCTGGTTACCGAGCCCTCTAGCTCGGTAACCAGGTACGTTAATTGCAAAGTTAAGCAGTCATGGCCAGGTCAGTTAACGCGTTGGCCTACGGCTCAACGTGCTCTTCGAGGCACGGAGGGGTCTCCGTGCCTCGGAGAGCATGTTGAGCCGTAGGCCCGGTTGCCGTACGTACATCTGTGGTAATCGTTACGTTTAGTTGGAGCTCTAAAAAGTACAACAACAGTCTCACACCTCCTATTCATCGTCACTATCAACCGCCATTAACAGCACTGTATAGAGAAGGAAAAAATGAACGAAATGACGGGCCTATTGGTCTAGTGGTTAGTGACCCTGACTGCTAAACCGGAGGTCGTGGGTTCGATTCCCACCCAGGACAAATATTGTGTGATGAG